CTTTAGAAGGCCAGATGCTGAAGAGCAGTCAGGGTTGATCTCCTCTAGGACTGACCGGTTTGATTGCCTTGCTGTCCAAGGGACTCGCAGGAGTCTCCTCCAGCACCACAATTCAAAGGCCTCAATCCTTCAGCGCTCAGCCTTCCTTATGGTCCAACTTTCACAGCCATACATTGCAACTGGGAAAACCATAGCCTGGACTATACGCACTTTTGTTGGCAGGGTGATGTCTCTGCTTTTTAGTATGCTGTTTAGATTTGCCATCGCTTTCCTCCCCAGGAGCAAGCGTCTTTTAATTTCTTGGCTGCAGTCCCCGTCTGCGGTGATCTTGGAGCCCAGGAAAATAAAATCTGTCACTACCTCTATTTCTTTCCTATCTATTTGCCTGGAAGTGAGAGGACCGGATGCCATGATCTTAGTTTTGTTATGTTGAGTTTCAAGCCAACTTTTGTGATCTGCTCCTTCACCCACATCAAGAGGCTCTTTAGTTCCTCTTCGCTTTCTGCCATGAGAGTGGTATCATCTGCATATCTGAGGGTGTTGATATTTCTCCCAGCAATCTTAATTCCACCTGGTGATTCATCTCACCCCTCCTTTCTCATGATGTGCTCTGCATATAAGTTAAATAGGCAGGAGGACAGTATACGGCCTTGCCGAACTCCTTTCTCAGTTACCCATCTGCATACCAGCTGCTTGGGTGGGAGAGAGCAGCCCAGTGGGCACTGCCCATACTTCGCTTGCATGTTTCCGACTGCGTCTGGTCGTCTGCTGTGAGGGAAGGTCCTCCACGTGGATGGACCTCCAACCCAGCAGGGTTCTTCAGAGAAAGGGAGGGAGTTGGTCGTTGCGGACCATGGCGCGCATAGAATACTGCCAAGAGGAACGATATTGTTACCTATAGAAAACCAGCCGTGGTATTTCAGTGTGCCAGAGCTTGGATGTTCCGTCCTCGTTGGAATTCAGCTGCTCATAGACTCCCAATGAAGCTTGTGGGCTGCCATTAAAGGTGGTTTGCCTGTAAACTAAGTAGTTTGTTTTCAAAAGATTCCCGGGATGAATATGTACTTCAAAGACCATGGCTTTTTTACGGGATGGAGGGTGAAAAGCTTTTCTGGCCACCCCCGCAAACCAGAGCAATCCGTTGAAAAAAATCTTATCTGGAATATTCAGGATGCTACAGTTGTTCAGTCCATTGATACTTCTAGATTCAGCTTGAAATATTTCCAAGAGATTCCTGCAGATCTGCATGGAAGGGAGAAAGCTGTGAGAGTCAGTGTCTGTGAAATGTAAGCAAACAGCAGCCCTTAATTAGGCTAAAGGTAATCACTGTGCAGGCCAATTGTTTAATCATACTCCATCCCCTTCACCTAAGTTCCCTAACAGCATTACCTCTGAGTTGTGAGCCCAGTCAAAAGATTTGCTTAACAGATGCTTTTGGGCTTTGTTCCGTTCGCGCCGAGTTGGTCTTGGGAATGCTGGTTCAGCCAGAGCCAGAGATACGTGTTCCCATCCTGATCATCTTTCATTTAAGAATAACAGTGGGGCAGCACAAGTCTAGCCCTGATGATGTATGCAAGCACCTTGGAAGCGTGCAAGGAACCGTCGGCCCTAAGGAAATGTTCCAGTAACCTTCATTTATTTAGTAGCGCCCGTTAGCTAAAGCTCTCTGGGTGGCTCACAGAACAAAGCAGAAAATTGTAAAAATAAAATAGTAAATCAGGATATAAAAATCGTAAGTTTGCAGTGGAATAAAATCGAAGTCCACCGGCAGTACACAGATGTGGAGAGGCACTAATGCAGCTTTCAAAACAAGGACTAAAAAGCCAGGGGAAGTAAAAAGGTCTTACCTGGCACTGAAAAGACCAGGTGTCGGGAGGGCCGTCCACAACCGGAGTGCCACCACCAAAAAGAACCTGCGCATAGTAGCCAATCACCTCACCTCATTTGGTGAGGGTGCTCAGAGAAGGGCCTCTGAGAATGATCTTGGGGTCAGGGCAGGTATATGTGGAAGGAGGCACGCCTTTGGGTAACCTGCCCCATGTCACGTAAGGCCTTGTATGCGAATCCCAACACTCTGAGAGCAGAGTTGCTGCCAGTGCTGATCATGGGTCCCTGGTGTACTATCCCAAGATCGGGCAGGCCAGGCCAGGCGTCTCCCTGTGCTTCTCGGGCCATTGAAAGCTTGAAGTTTCGTTTTCCAAGGCAGTCTATTCTGCACTGCAGCAGTCCAGTTGGGAGGGTATGAGGCAGCCATCAACTGCCCCTCAGCTGCATCCATTGAGATAAGGTCATAGCTGGCCTTTCAGCTGAAGCTGCTAGACCCCAAGTGGAATCATTCCATGAAGCACATGGGTGGGAGACATAGCACAGATCCAAGGAAGTGCTTCTCCACACGACACATAGTTAAAACTATGGGATTCCTGTCCGGTGGCAGCCACCAATTTGGATGGCTTTGAAAGGGGATTGGGCCAATGCATGAGGGTTATCAACAGACACTGGTTCTCTTGGTTCAAGGCTGCCTCCAAGGGCAGAGGAGGCAGGCCTGTGTCATAGTCCTGGATCGCTGAACAGGATTACATCGTCCCAGCCACCCCGAAAAAGATCAGCCAAGTGGGTGCTTTCTGTTTTTACGTTGTGCTTTCCCTCGTATTGCTTGGTCTTTCTTTATTCACAGACATTCTCATGGTACACGAATGTGAAATTGTTAGGACTTAATGGCATAGCAGTTGACCCTAAATATTTGTACAGCTTCAAGCACCGTAGTATCCACACTCTTGCACTGCAGAGGTATCTGCTTATGCCAAGTGCACGGACAGTTCTGTGCTTCTGTGATTCTGCGTGAGCCGGACGTCCTTTAACCCGAACGAACGATGCTTGAAGTAGCGGCGAGTGTGTGAGGAAAGCTTGCGTGCAAAGTGATAGCTCTCTCGCAGCACAGGCTCTGCTGACGTTTAGATTTCTTCCTGAACTTCATTTCTCATTTATGAAAGACCCCAAAAAGATTCAGTAGCCCAGCTTTTGCTTTTCGTCCTCAGTGCTTAAGTTTAAACCCAGCTCAGGCACTGCTTCCGAGGAGGTTCCTTGGTGCTGATTCATCTGCTGCTGCCCTTTCATTTTCAATCGAGCCCGCACTGCCCATTTTCACCTGCTGTTTGCATGGGACTGGGGCTTTGGGGAAAATGCACTGCTTGAACGGAGCCTGCAGTAGCCTCACCCCTTGCCTGCCGAGCCACCATGGAGAGGCAGGAAGGTTTCGGACCGATTCTGTGCAGTGGCCAAGCCTGGTAGAACTTCTGTTCCTGTCTCTGCCTGCCGCACACTCCTGCTACCTGTCCCACCCGTGGGGACTGCCCCATAGTCGGTTACCTGTGGTGCCACTGTCCAGAGATAACCCTTTGAGCTGTCAGCGTAAACCTTCCGTATCTCCTGCTTACAACATGCAGAATAATTCTGACTGCAGCAGCAATGCCCTGCCAGCGAGCGTCGCTTCAAGACTTGCAGTGCAGCCCTGTGCACATGGAGGGGTTCGGTGGGGTTCACCCTTCTCGCCTTTTCTCTGCTCCCACCGCTAGAGTTGTTGATGTTTGACTTGGCAGAGCAGCTGTCCAGCTCGAGGCCCCTCCAGGTCTGCCCAGGTGCTCAGAAGAACCGCCTGCTCATTCTCACCACCCTCTCTCTCTTTCTCTCTCTGCAGCTTCGATACCAGCATGGGCTGGGGACTCCAGATCTAAGGCAGACGCTTCCTAACCTGAAAAACTTCCTGGAACACGGCCTCATGGTCCGGTGGTAAGTAGCACTGACTTCTTCTGTTCCATACAGTTTAGCAACGAACTTACCCAGCCCCTTAGATGAGCCGCTGAGGCCATTCTGAAAGGGCCGCCTCCTCAGAAAATAAGGAGGGTGGCTGCATGAAGAAGGGCCTTTTTGGGAGTGGCACCCCGACTTTGGAACGAGATCGCCAGAGCGGTTCACCTGGCGCTCTCTTTATGTTCTCTTTGCGCCAGGCAAAGACCTTATTTCACTGCTATTTTAATTGTTAGTTTGGTTTTAGTTTGGTGGTATATTGTAATATAGGGGGTGGTCATGCCTTTTATGTAAACATAGGTTCTGTTAAGATGCGGCATGGGTGCGCTTTTATTGTTCTTTGATTAAGAGTTTCATACCGTGTTTTTAATGTTTTATATAGATCTTTATATGGTTTTATTGTTTGCAATCTGCCTGGGGAGCCACGTGGCCAATGGGGCAGGCTAAAAATCTAATAAAAAGTAAACAAACAGTGGCAGTTTGTGGAACATGCCGTCCGATACAAAGAAGACTCTTGTTTTATCAAAATGACAAATGGGAGCATTCCTTTTTAAAGAAAAAAAGGAAAGCCGGAGAGTCAGATAAAGTGGCAGAAAGGAACTGTGGGGGTCTGTCCCAGAGGAGACGTGCAGCACTGGAAGGTGATTTATGCTGATCTGGAGGCAGGGAACTTGGACAACCAGAGTTGGACTGTCCTGTAGAAAAGCATTAAAAGAAAGTGGTCTCTGATGGGAAGTTTTAATTTCAAAATAAAGAAGATCTCTCTCTTCTTTTTTGGATGAAGGCCCCGAGTTCCTCATATGCTATATTCTGCCTGTATTGTTGCAATAAAAAGCTGGGGGAAAGGCTTAGGCCTCTTCTCTTCTCTTCTCTTCTCTTCTCTTCTCTTCTCTTCTCTTCTCTTCTCTTCTCTTCTCTTCTCTTCTCTTCTCTTTAAAACTTCTGAAGACAGGAGGGTCCAGGTAGTGGGGCTTTCAGTTCTCTGATAGCCACCCCCCCACTTTACTGTTCCCTCTCTCCCCATAGTACCCCCCCCCCACAAGCTAGTTATCCAGTGATAGCAATTTTTGCTACATTGCACTGTGATGGAGTAAATGCAAGCCTTATATTCCTCGAATGATATTCTCCTGCCTGTTACCTCGTTCTTTCCACTTCTGCCGCCGCATTCTTTTCAGTTAAGTCAGAGAACCTATTTAACATGAACAGGTATTAGTCAGGTTATGATCCCTGACATGGATAAAGATCGAGTATGCCAGCCATCTGATGAATAGATCCAACCATTGGAGAAACTCACACTCTGCTCTTTTGTCCTGAGAAAGCCCAGCCAAAAGGAGTTCACTTCCCCAGTCCTGTGGGAAAGGGAACCCTGCTCCAGGCTCTGGTGGGCCCCAGGGCCCTAGTCCTGTCCATCAGCCCAACACCAAAGGTCGGTTGGGGCGAGCATTGTTGTGGAGTGTTCACAGGAAGCTCTTTTCAGTATTCCTTGTTGCTTGTAAACTGCCTTGAGAATTAATTAGAAGGCAGATTAAAAATCCTCAAAACACATAAATATGCAGGAGTTGGCCTTCCCCGCTGTGGAATTCTGGATTTTGACTTGAGGTGGACCATCGTCCCGCTTTGCCTTCCTAGAGTGGCATGTCCTCATTACCAAGACAAAACACATTCATCGCCTGGCTAATATTTCAGAACATGTGTGGCTATTAGCCATATTTCTCTGGGACTATCATATTCCCATACAGGGCCTATCTGTGCCTCATTTCTTTCTCACCTCCAAGGCTCAGATAGGCCTGATGATTCTGAACAGTGCCTCTTGGTCCTTCCTTGCAGTGAAACGGTAATGAGGCTTTTCATAGACCCTTCCTCAAGGGGAAAATTAGGGGGCCACGTTCCCAGCCAGGGCAGTTCGGTGCAAGCGCGCTTGACTGCACGAGCCCTGTTCGCATGTGCGCGAATGGCTGACGGGGTATCTGCAGGGCCCCAGCTACTAAAATGAAGATTTATGGCAGCTTATATACCGCAGGTAGGCCATCCCATTGACTGACGGCGGTCTCTGGCCTCCCGTGCCTGACAAAGCATTGCCAGATGCCAGTCACGTGCGTGCCTCTGTCCGGATGAGGTGGGGCCAGGGTGGGCACGTCTCTGACTTGTCCATTCACAACTCGTTTTTCACTTGGTTTCTTTCCCTCGACAATCTCTCTGCCTTTGTGTTCCTCCAGCATATTGGGTAGCTTAGTTTGGGACACCAAGTGCAGCCATTCCTGGATGGAGGTCATCTATCCATAGCGATTCTCTCACTGGGAATAGGCAGGTTATAAATAAATAAATATGCCGCCGCTGCTGCTGCTGCAGGCACCAGTAACGCTCCCCAAAGAGCTTTGCTAGATTTTATTTATTTATTTAGAATTTTTGTATGCCCTCCCATTTGCATGAGCCTCGGGACAGCTTGCATACAATAAATAAACACAATCTAAGTCACTCTTCCTTCCTTCCTTCCTTCCTTCCTTCGTCACTATTTATTTATTTGTTTAGAATTTTTGTATGCCGTCCCATTCGCATGAGCCTCGGGACGGCTTACATACCATAAACAAACACAATACAAATAATGCACATAAAATCCAGATTCACCCTGGCTGCACAATTAAAACCAATAAATATTAAACATTGTTAAAATACTGTTTGAATAAAAAGGTCTTAGCCTGGTGCCGAAAAACAAATAACGACGGCGCCAGGCGGACCTCTCTGGGGAGCGCATTGCACGGGCGGGGCGCCACCGCAGAGAAGGCCCTCCTCCGGGTACTTTGCCTCCTGATGGCTCTCCCGGAGGAGGGCCTCTGCCGCAGATCTCAGGGGGCGGGAGGGCAACTGGGGAAGAAGGCGTGAACCTCAGATGAACCACAGTGACGGCCTGCTAGCCATTGAGCTACATCTGAGATCTTGCTACTGACATATAACGCCCTAAGCAGTTTTGGAGCGGGTTATCTGGCAGACTGCCTTCCCTCGTGTGTAGCCATCTGACCATTAAGGTGCACCCGGAAGGGCCTCACTCACCATTCTGAGATGTTCAGACTGTCGCCATGTGTACGTCAGTGATGGGCCTTTTGGATGGTGGCCCCCACCCTGTGGAAAGAGCTCCCCCTTGTTCTGGCACCCTTCACAAGCCTCTTGAGATTACCTGCTCCTTTAGGCCCTTTCCCGCCCCGAAATTTTTGCCCCTCCTGTGTCACCACTGTTGCTGCTGCAGTTGCAGCTGAAGTTGCAGCTATGTTGCATTGCTTTGAAATTATACATTTGAAACTTTAAATGTGATTTTAATCATGCTTTTATGATTTCTATGGTTACCTCTTAGGGATTTTTAACCTCTTAGGGATTTTTAACCATGCTCAGGAGTGTCAAAATGATAGCAGCGAGGGAGCAGACCATATTTTTGCTGGGAGGGGGTCCCAGAAATTTGGTGCCACTGCAGAGTAGGTACCATCCCAGGTAAGTGCAGGCTATACCTGCAAAATGATGCGGCATGTCATGGAGGCAGGACCTGTGAGGTGGATCATAACAGAGAGCTGTGAATATGGGTGCCGTATAGTATAAATGTTGGTACTAATGTTACATTCCAGTGATATAGTATATATCCATTTCATTATATTTTGTCCTTCCTCACAAGGAAGTGTTAGGATTTATTTGTTTATTTGTTTATTTATTTATTTATTGGTTTATTACATTTATATGCTGTCCTTCACTATCGCATCTCAGGATGGCTTACAAGATTAAAACCAATAGTCATAAAAACAGCCAATACAACAGTACAATAAAATTACTATAAACCAATACAGATAAATCAAAAGCGACTGAACCACTAAAACGGCTAATTTTTAAAATAATGATTAAATAAGAAAGTTTCATGAATTTGCCACTGTTAGGCCTCAACGGCTCAGTCGTTGATCATAAATATTTGTATGGCTCCAACGCCTGTAGTATCCACACTCTTGAAATGTCAAGGTTTTGCTTATGTTCAGTGCTGAAAGCTGCAGAAGAGAGGAAGCGGAGTCCACGCATGCTTGGATGCCAGGCAGCTGACCCAAAAGCGCGAATGCTCAGCTGCCAGAGTGGTAGCAGAGCCCCCCACGCATGTGCTCTGCGGGAGAACTGGAGCGGACTCAGAAAATGCTGGAGAAATGCGCTAGCCCCAGCCATAGCTTTGGACACAATTCAGGGAGTGCTCTTGTGCTAAACAGGCGCGAAGGCCCCACGGCCTTGAGGGGCAGCGTTGTCCAACACGTTTCTTATCTGACTGATGCTTGTTTGAGTTTAATTTCTCCGTCTTTAAAATTCAAGACTAATGCCAAGAGACTTGGAGAAAACAGCCCTTTAATAGGCTAATATTTAAACAGTTTGTCCCGTGATGGGGCAGCCCACCCATCCAGAGAATTCTGCGCAAGCCTTCACAGACATGGCTCCACTCTGAGCCGTGCACTGGACCCTCCTCCTCTCGTTCATTTCGGATTTTTCTCAGGCAACATTTGCTTTGGGATATGTGGCATAACCTTTAAAACGATTTACTTGTCAGTTTTTGCATCCCAAAGAAGCAATTTATGGCTTCAGAATATTTGTTCTTTGTTTTGTCATTCCAAACATCAGTTTTTCTGTGTTGACACAGATTGCTAGTGAAATATGCGTGCCGGCACGGGAAAACGCGGCTTCTCTTGGACACGCTTAAATAGCCCTCACAGGAGGAATGGAGTACCGCTTCTTCAGAAACAAACTACAAATGCAGATTCTGTTTGTTGAGGGGGAAAACAGATGAAGTTAAGCCTCGCGTCTTGTCTTGTGTATGATGTATGTTTGCTCCCTCAGATAACTTCCGTGCAGTGCTGAGCCGGAAGCCTCCTAGTGAACTCTGGGATGAGAAAGGGGGCTTTTGAGGTGGGTGAAATTTTTTATTCCCCCCACCACATGCACACTCGTGTCTGTTCCGTTTGCTGCTTCTTTGCAGCCTGGCCGTGGCACAGAGGCTGTGTTTCCTTTCCTCCCCACACACCCTGGTGTGAGAAGCATCTCCCAAGCCAGCAGCCCAGCAGTGTCACGAAGCCACTCCAGAGTGAGGGCAAAGCTGCTGCTTCTCTCACTTTTCATATTTTCTGGGGAAACAGGAGGGGAGAAACAGCATTAAGCAGTTGTTGAACACGTGGCTTCCTCTTGGTTGTTTCCTTGATTTATACCTGGCATTTCCACCCAGAAATGGTGCTCGAGGCAGCCAGTAAGCAGTGGTGGGACCTGCTCCCAGGGCAGAGTTAGTCATGTGGGGCTTTGCTCCTACCTCGAAGTGCACCTGAGCAGTGCTTGAGACCGGGGGGAGTCCTCGCCTCTGACTTGAAGGCTGGTTTGCATATGTGTACAGGTGAGTGCAGAGACCGGATTATCTGAAATATATATACAGAGAGAAAAAGAGATGAGAACAATGTGCATATTGACCCATCATGCACAGCTGGGCCTTGAACTCCTGGCCTGGCTGTGAGGAGGTTTCCCCGGCAAGCCACCCGAGGGCAGAAAGTAAGACTTGCGATACCAGGCATCTAGCAAACACATTCTCATGTTGTCATGCCTCATCGTGCCAGAACATCCAGTTTCCACTTGCTTTCGTTGCTGGCCGTGTCCTTCTGGCACCCTCCAGTCACTCGGCCATCTTTCGTGGCTATTTATGCCGTAATCGTTAAAGAGGTGGGAGACCATTTGTCTTTTCTTTAATACGGTTGACATGATATTGGCTGAAGGGTTTGCCTAAAGCGGCAAATGTTTCAGATGGCTATAAACCAACTTAAACTCCTTCACGTCTTGCTGCCATGAGGTCATCTTTACAGCAAAAGCGGGAGGGGGTGGCGGGGAGCAGAGAGCAAAATGTTTAAGTTAGCTTTTTTGTTGAAGCCTTCTCGTAGCGCTGGGCTATAGCTGTGTGCTCTGGCTGGTGGCCAGACAGGCGAGTTTTAGTATTTTAACCAGCTGTGGTCAAGTAATGTCCCTTGGAGGGAACATTTGCAGGGAGTGAAAGATACATACTTGAGACTCGGAATTCGATTCTGCCTTTGCAACAAAGAAAGCTGTATGGCTTTTACAAGCATATTAAATAGCAGGAATACCCCATTTGGTTTAAAGACAAACAAAAAGGAAGGTGTTTTTGATCAGGATTGTGGGTGGTGGCAGGGCGGATGGCCCTTTGAGTACGATGACAAAGGAATGGATGGGGTTGTGTAATCGGTGTGGCTTCCAAATGCAGCTTCAGTGTACGTAGCTGCAGAATGGCTGGCCTTGTGGGCCATTCTGTGCGCGTATTCCTTCGTGCAGCGTGTAGGCAGTGGAGATTGCACGAGCGTTTGAGGAGCCAGGCGTTCAGTTGACAAAGCTTCCCAAGCTGGGGCCCTTTAGGTATTCCCCATCTTGAGGAAGGCTTGGGTAGCTGTTCAGGTGTTCTGCCCCCACTCCTAGGAAGAAGCAGCAAGCGAAAGGTGGGCTGTTCAGCGTTCCTCTCCTGCTCCTCTCACAGTGTGGCAAAGTGAACTGGGAGCTCTCCCCCAGAATCTCTTGGCGTGCAGCGAATGGAAGGAAGGGTCTGAGCCTGCGTCTCACCCCTGATCCCTCTCTTGGTGCAATTTGGTGGAGCTCAGGAGATAAAAATGCCTGAACTGGGCCTTAGATCCAACTCTGAAGCTTATCCGAAACAGATCTGGGGGGTAAAGTCTCCAAAGTTCAGACTGACAAATAGTTCCACTGATAACAGGAATTTGTAAACTTTCACATTAACTGTAACTTGGGTAGGGAACTTGGGTGCAAAAATTTAAAACGTAGCCAAGCGATCCGGGAACAAGTCCTGTAGCCAAAGCGTGCAGAGGGACTCTTGCCCTCTCTTTGCAAGTCGCTCAACTCAGAAAACAAAGCAAAGCCACAACTCTTGTGGCACCTTAAAAGGAAAATTTGCATGGCACTGGCTTCTGCTGACCAGGCGGACCTGTACCTATGCATTCCCACGGATGCAGTGGAAAAAAATGCCAAGATTGGGGCGAAGTGGCGACGGCACGCAGGACGTCCGTCTGCGATTGCTCCATCAGAGCGGAAATGTATGCAGAGGGACCCTGCGCAGCAGCAGCGCTTGGCAACGGTGCAGCCCTCTTTGGATGGCCGAGTGAACGAACACCTGTAGCAGAACAAAACCAACAGGGTCTTGTAGCTCCTTGCCGACGAGCACGTTCATGACGGCAGCAGCTTCCATGGATTATTTTCCCCTTCATTGGAGCCAAATGAATAGAGCTGAACTTTTTGGAACAATTTCCTCTGGAACTTGCTTTTCTAGGAAACTGGCATGTAGCGCCTTTCCGAATTCTGAAACGAGGATATGTGTGTGTGTGTGTGTGTGTGTGTGTGTGTGTGTGAGAAATGGAGGAAGAAATCCAGAGAAAGGGGGGAAGACTTGTGCTTCTGAGGCATCCAAGGAGATGCCCCGATTTCGGAGTCCAGCACAGGTGTTTTTGTGTTAAGGACTGCCGTTGGCTCTGAGCCTCTCCACCAGGACAGGGCGACCACCAGCCAGTGGCCTTAGCCAGGGCTGTCCCTGCTTAGCTTCCAGAATGAGGCAGGATCGGGCCCTTTAGGCTGTGTGGTGGCTGGAATTCCAGTGTGAATGGAAGAAAACTAGCAAATCTCAAACAGGGCAGGGAATAGGTGGCTGGCCCTGGGCTTAGAAAAGTCGGGTTCAGATCTCTGTTGAATGACAAGGTTATTGCTTGCCGTGGTGGAGCGGCTTCTCCTTTGCGCGAACTCTTTCTTGGGGGGTATTGCGGAAAAGAAAAAAGCGAGAATAACGCACCCATGACTTATAACCAGAACATGTGCCTTTGGATTAACAAGAAAAACCTATTACGTGATGATGATTGCCAATTACAAATTTGTGCCCCGCTTCCTCAAACGTAGTAATCGTTCTGATTCGGAAAGCAAAAACATTTCCATGACATCCCCGAGCTCCGTTGTTTTAACACCGATTCTCGTCATCTTTTCTAGTGATCGGCACCACATTTCCAGCGCCATTCCAGTTCCAAAGAGGCAAAGCTCTGTGTTTGGGGGCTTGGATGCCGGCTCCTCCAGCAGCCGTCCTTCTCCTGACAAGGGACTCCGAAAGCGGGCCAACTCCGAGAACGAGAGACTGCAGTACAAGACCCCACCTCCCAGTTACAACTCTGCTTTAACACAGCCCATCGCCATTGTGGGAGAACCGGATAAAAGGGCTGGATCTTTATCCTCCTCTTTAGATACCTCCATGGACTTCTCCAAGGAAAGCAGAATGGGGGAGAATTTATGTAACAGTCTTAATGGTGAAAACAGAAACCTGAACAATTCCCAAGAGAAGCCGGAGCCTTTCCTGGGACCTCCGCGTGCAATAAATGGGGCAGCGTTGCCCGGCGAGCAGCCGTGCGTGTTCCGTGGGCCCCTCGGCACAGACCTCCTCTGCACGGTCGAGCAGGCGGAAGAGATCATGGGCATGGAGGCGACCGGCTTTGGCACGGGAGACCAGCTCGAAGCCTTCAACTACATTCCCGTGGACCACGCCGTGGCAGTGGAATGTGACGACCAGGTCCTGGGGGAGTTCGAGGAGTTCTCCCGCAGGATCTGTGCACTGAACAAGGATGCCCCGACTTTCCGCAGGCCACGGAAGGGCTCTGATAAGTGAGCTGCGGACGCCGTGGCAGTGGTGGCACGTCACAGAGGTGAAATTATATATATCTGGAACGAAGATGAAACTTGCACTCATAATTCCTGTTCAGTTATGGGTGGAATGGTGGGGTGGGGCGGAGGGGGAGAACTCTTGCTATAGTTTTGGGAAATGGCTTTTGTTTCCAACCATCACGACGTATCCGAAGCCCAGATATATCTACTGCTTCCTATCCTGGTTTCCTAGCATTCACAACCCGCTCCGGTAAATTGGATCAGGCTGTTTTTGTATCGTCTGCTTAAGTTTATTCTGTCGGTTTCTTTGGAGGAGGTGCAGGGAAGGCAAGCCAGGCGCTTGGCTGGAGACGAGCAGAGGGGTTTGTGTGCGCCTGCATGCATGGATGTGATCTGCCCCCTCCACGGCTTGCTGCACTCGGCCGGGCCTTCCGATGGGTTCAGGGACGCCCACAGACTGTCGTCCTTGCCTGGGAAATGGGGGCAGGCTCAGCAGGGGACCTGCCACGCCCAAATCCCCAACAAGACCCATCAGGCCTCCCCTCTGCACGCAGTTCTATTCCCTCCCTCCACCCCTCCCTCCCTCCCTCCACCCCTCCAGCTGCTGGCAGTCACTGCGCATGGCCTGGTCAGATGCCTGGGGAATGGACGGAAACCCTTGCATACGCTCTGTGCATTCCAGTGGGCCCATGTGCAGGGCATGCTTCCAGGCCAAAGCACCTGGGCAGGGGGAGCGACTCGCCCTGCTTTCCTGCCACCCCGGTCTCACCAGTGCGCAACCGAAGCCCCCTCCCCTGTCCAAAGTACACCCATTGCTTTGCCTTGAAGGGCCCAGCCTGCCGCACACATTCAGCCCGAAGACCTGTAGATGGGCGCTGCTGCTTTCGGACCATGGTAGCTCTCTAGCCTGCTTGGCGGACGGCTCATGTACTCCAGGTGTGTCCACGGGACCATAAAAGTATAACGAAACAGCCTCTCGGCACATGATTATTAGCATCATCATTTCAGACCCTATCAAGCTGTGAAGCGTTTACAAATGTGCAAGACAGAATTTAATATATACCGTGCAATAGATTTGGGATTACATGAAACGGAGTTTAATAGTGCTTGGTGTTGACCATATTTAATATTGTACTTAATCTTTTTTCAAATTAAAAAAAAAATCAGCCAAGCCTTCCATACTTTTAAACTGGAGCTATCTTCAATGATTTGTCAATGGGGCAAGTTTGACTCTGGGTGAGGTAGTTGACCACTGGCCCACGTGTTTCCAGCTGCACTAATGTACAAGCGGATTTTGGGATCTGCTTGGAATTCCTGACGATATGCATTTTGGAGTTCAGATGTGTCTGGCTCTTGCTTTCTACATTGTATACCGAAGTCTGGGCTCAATTGTGAGCTCATAAATATATATATATGTATTGCAGAATAAAAGTTTAATTTACTTCATGGTGCCTGATAACTTCTTTTCCCTGCTTTAACTCCTCCTCGAATCTTTCCTCCAGGACATTGAATAATTTCACAATGTAATTGAAACTACTGCTAGGGAAACGGTCCACACATGTCAGGGAAGTCTTGGACAGGGAGACAGTATGCCACTGGAGTGACTGTTCCTGCACTGACTCACAAGAAACTAACTATAGAAATCATATTTTAATTTTGCACTTAACCTTCAGTTGAGGGACTGCAGGTGGCGCAGTGGTTTAAACCGCTGTGCTGCTGGGCTGGTTGATCGAAAGGTCGCCGGTTCGAATCTGCACAACGGGGTGAGCTCCCGTTGCTCCGTCCCAGCTCCTGCCAACCTTGCAGTTCGAAAGCCTGCAAATGCAAGTGGATGAAAAGGTACCACTTTGGTGGGCAGGTAACAGCGTTCTGTGCACCTCGGTGTTTAGTCATGCCGGCCACATGAGCACGGAGACCGTCTGCGGACAAGCGCTGGCTCCCTCGGCCAGGAAACGGAGCTGAGCACCGCCCCTGAGAGTCAGGCATGACTGGACGTAATATCAAGGGGAAACCTTTACCTTTACCTTTTAACCTTCAGTTAAGTTTGCCTTTCCCCAGCCTTGGTGCCCTCCTGATGCGGCTTCCATGATCGAGATGTACGCAAGAGGGTAGCATTCCTCCTCTGAAGCCGCACAGAAGAGAAATGAAATGGGTTTTCTTGTATTTAATACATAGCACTAATGGAGAACCAGGGTGGTGGTGTGGTTGAACTGGGACTTGGGAGATCCTGGGTTCTAATACCCACTCAGCTGTGACACTCACTGCCAGCTTGCCCTACCTGAGAAGATGGTTGTTGTGAAGATAACATGGAAAGGAGGACTTTGGAAACTGCCTTGGGTTCGTTGCAAAAGGGGGGAAAGCAGGGTAATGATATAATAATCAGTGTATGCAAATTAAGTTGGAAAACCAAACTGGGAACTACTGAGTCCCATCAGACTGAGGATCTTTCACCTGGCCAGGAGAGATGACCTGGAGCGTGTGGAACATCTCACCTTCTTGCAGCACATCGGCATTTATCATGAGTTTTGGGGTAACCTGCAAGAAGGTACCGATGGGCGCGTGGAACAGCGCGGATCTCTCTCCAGGAGGCTTCCCAGAAAAACCATCACCACAGCCTCTTTCTTGCTTCCTTGAACTGGTCTTAGCTGGGTTCTGTGTCAGGTTTGGAATCGTCCCATCTAGTAGAGGGCCGGGCAATGTGATGGCCTCCCTTGGACTACAGCTCCCATCATCCCTGGCCATGTTGACTTGGGCTTGTCATCCAAAACGTCTGGAGGAGGCCAGTTGCTTTACCCCTGGTCCACGCCTTGCATGCAATCAGAATACGGCGAGGTAGAAGCAGGCCAGTCTTGTGGGCCACTAGCTCTGTGACGTGGGGTCTTGGTAGGTTATTCCCAGCTCCAAAACACAGTTGGACCCCACCTGTATAAAAGCGCCTTTGCTGTGCATATTTCGCAGGCAAAAAGTGGCAATGGGGATAAAGATCTGGCTGGCCCCTGCTATCTATTGCAAGCTAGGAGGGCTTTCATCCTCCAGGACTCCCTCGGTGTGGCAGCCGATGGATAGCAGGGACCCGCAGGTCTGAGCACAGGGAGCCAGGAGGCTAGTAGGGAGGGCTAGAAATCCGATAATTAAAGATCCCCAATTCTGGCCTGCTTGCAGGCGCTGTCTGGATATTTCCAAGCCCAGCACCCATCCTAGGGAGTGGCCCTCCTGGGGGAAACCTTCGTGTACGCTGTGCTCCTCTGAGGTGCCCCTCCAAGGGCCTTGCCCAAGGGATGCTGGGGGGACGTGGCAGGAAGGTGTCTCCCCCAGTTACAGGATGCTTCCTCCAGTGATGACATCGCTTTAGTGCCAGGTTAGGACTTGCATTTAACAGCATATAAGATTTTAATAGCTCCTGGGGTTAATTATTAATTGCTTAAAATGATATGAAATCATATGCAAATGTACATCGAGAGAGGTGTTGCTGCCACTCTATGCGACTCTGGTGCGCCCGCAACTGGAGTATTGTGCTCAGTTTTGGGCCCCTCGTTACAAGAAGGATATAGCCAGGTTGGAGTCAGTGCAGCACAGGGCCACAAGGTTGGTGGCCGGATTGCAGGGGATGCCGTATGAGGCGAGACTGAGGGAGCTGGGTCTCTTCAGCCTGGAGAAGAGGAGACTCAGAGGGGTATGTTGGCGACATGCAGGTATGTGGGGGGGTGTCACACGGAGGTGGGGAAAGACCTGTTCTCCCCTGCAGAGGAAGGCAGGATGCACTCCAATGGAGCAAAGCTCAGGGAACCAAGGTTCCATTTGGATGCCAGGAAGCACTTCCTGACAGTCGGGACCCCCAGGGTGTGGAATGGGCTTCCACGGGAGGTCGTTGAGGCCCCATCGGTGCGGGTGTTCAAGGACAGGCTGGACATGCACATGGCAGGCATGTCATGAGTGGAGCCGGCTGAAGCCAGGGGTCAGACTAGATGGCCCAGGAGACCCCTTCTGACTCGCCATGTTTCTGTGTATTTTGTACTGGTGGGGAGGGGCAAGTCCAGCTACACGACGTCAAACAGGAAGGAGCACAGAGAGACATAGGTATACCTACATTTACCAATGGGTACATTTGCCTGTTTCAGTCCCTGGCAACCCATTGTTCTTTTGTGCTTTTGTGTTAATATGTGATCCTTTTTAAATCTCCGATAAATGTGTATTTTGATGTACTTGAACGGCTTTCCAGCTTCCAGAGAAGTCCCAAGTCTGAGGCACAGTTAAATTCGGATGGCTCCTTGGTCCGAGCAGTGATCAAAATGCCTAAGCTGCTTTGACCCCTTGATGTTCTTCTTGCTGACCAGATTCTGAATGTGAATGAAGCCCATCTCAAGAGGGCAAGCTTCGTGATGAGAAGTGGGACTAAATATTGTTCTGTGATCACATACACATGGACGCTTGCTGTTGCAGATCCAATTAATCTGCTGCAGTTGTGTTGAACGGCCCTTAGCCGACGGGGGATGCTTGTCCCAGTGACGGGCACCTCCCTGAAGGTTTTGGAACACACATCACGTTGAACTCCCGTCTGCAGAATCTGCTTTTTTTCTCTTCGAGGTGCCGTCCACCCAACCCGTAAGTCGACATGGCCTTCTTAAAACCCGCATTTGCGAGGAGCTAACTATTAAAACATGGATGTAATTCATTGTTGGACTGAACTGGTGGGAGGAAGGCATGGGTGGGTGGAGAGATGTCAGCACTTCATACCTTCCCGCTCACCTTCCAGAGCCGGTGCACTGTAGCGGTTCGAAAGCTGGCAAAGAGGAGGCCGAGCTGGGCTCCAGTTCACACTCCCCCATCAATTCTCTGAGTTCCTTCAGGTCAGTTGCTGTCATTCAGGAAAGGGCAACTCAAATGATTAATGCCTGTAGCAGCTCCCTATGGATTAATGTTGCAGCAGCTGAGTGTGCCGTGGGGGAGGGGGGGTGCACAAAATTAGGAATGGCATGGAAGAAATGGAGAGGGAGGCATTTTCCTCCCCACTACAAGAGCCCAAAGGGGACACCAATGAAGCTGGTGGGTGGGATAGTCATGACAGATGGAAGAAGTCTTCCTTCACAATACACATAGTTAATGATGGAAGTCACTGCCGGAAGATGTAGAGGGTGGCTTTACAAGGGGGTGGGACCAATACATGGAGGAGAAGAGAGGTCAGTAGCCGCTAGGCCTGATGACCATGCGCTATGTCCAATATCCAAAGCAGTGTTACTACTATTATCTGTTCTGCCCCGCAGCTGAAGCCCTCTTTGTACACCAGTTGCTGAGGAACGCGAGTGGAGTTGCGCTTGTGCTCGCCTTGGGGGCTTCCCTTCATGGCATCCGTTTGGCCACCGAGAGAGCAGAAAGCAGGACCAAAGGCCTTCAGTTCCCACAGGTCTCTTCTTACATCCTCAGCTGTCCCCAAGCTGCCTTCCAGATACGCTGGACTGAGACTCCCATCGTTCCCAACCAGCATGGCCGGGCTAGTTGATGGGAACTGCAGTCCAGCGACATCTGGAGGAGACCAGCTGGGTGGCGGCTGTCCTGCAGAATCTCCCAGGTCGCTTCGTGTGCATAACTCAAGCTGAGGAGGGAGCCAAGTGGGCTTCGCAGAACTCAAGGGAGGACAGGTGGGGCAGACGTGCAGTGCATGAGATCCTTCCCTACAAACCATGTGACTTGCACAGAATGCGCAAGGAATTCTGGGAATGGGGCAAGGGCCCTGTTGGTTGCAAGGGGGTTTCCTCCGGAAGAACTCCGACTGGGTTCAGCCCTAATACTCTTCCATCCAGTACAGAGCCAGGTATGTTTTTTTTTTTTTTTCTATTTATATCCTGCCTTTTTCCTACAAAGGGCTCAAGGCAGCTTACATCATTCTCCTCCTCCATCTCATTCCCACAACAACAACCCTGTAAGGTAGGCTGGGCTGAGAGTCTGTGACTGGCCCAAAGTCACCCAGTTGGCTCCATGGCCGAGCGGGGACT